TTGGGGCGAGGGAGGGGAGCAGCCTCCATATATGACTGCAGTTTCAGGCATACTCCTTAAGCAAGAGACATTGGAGTCGTTACAAGGCCTGTGTGTGTGAGGCCTAATGGGGTGTGGGGCTCAGATTCCATGCTCCGAGATTTCAACCCGGAATCCTTACCCACCATTGCAACACCAAGTCTCCGAGGCCTGAACCTAACTACAGAGACCTGCTGCAGGCGCGCAGTCGAGTATGTTCGTGAGACGGTGGCCTCGCTGAGGCGCGGCCTTCGACGGTTGAGCTTGGATCATGGATCGGTGAACCAACGTCCTGCTACGCACCATTTCTGCTACTGCTACTGCTGCTGCTGCAGCAGCTGCTGCTGCTGCTCCTGCTCCCACTCCTACTGCCCCTGCTCCCGGCAACTACAGGTTCGAAGGTTTGCAGAGCTAAGGCGCAAAGGGCCCTGGAACACTTTGGAGCATGGCAGGCTTCTCCATAGTGCCCGCGGGAGTCTTGGTTCCCAAACCCCTAAATCCGAAACCCTAAACCTTGTAGCCTCCGAACCCGAGGTCCTCAAGTGTATTTGTCACTTCCAGTGTCGCGGGAACAGCTGAGCAAGCTTCTGTCGAGTCTTGAAAGGCAAAATCCTTTGTCGCAACCTAAAGCCCTGAGCCACCTTAGCCCTGCTCGATAGCACCAGTAGTGAGGCCCGTGTACCGAAAGTGCAGTTCAAGCTTCAACCCGAAGCCGTCGAAAACTGAATCGATCCAAGACCCTTACACCCTAAACCCTAGCCCCTAAACTTCAAGCAAGGAATCCCCGACAGCCTGCGGACTTCCCACTCCCAAGCCTGGACAGTCACTTCGTCCCGAAGCCACATAATGTAGGAACCTGATGGGCTTTTAGGGTTTAAGGGGTCCTTTAAGGGTTCCTTCAAGGGATCTATAAAGGTCCTATAAACGGGTTTAGGGTTCAGGGTTTAATGTAGGAACCTGATTAAGAAATCTCGGGCCCTCCCTAGGGTTCCTTATGTTCCCTAGATGAATCCTACTATTTTGTGGTTATGGTCCCAGGGTTTCTTAATCAGGTTCCTACATTATAGACCCTATGCAGCAGAATCTTATCCTGGATTCTCTTAAAGACAAGCCCTTTCAAAGCTAAATCCTCCAGACTGCCCAAACCCCCAAAGTGCTAAGCGCTGAAAGCGCTAAACCTAAACCCTAACTTTGAAACTCCGTCTTTAAATTCTGAACTCTCTAAAACCCTAAACCCTTGCGTCTAAACCCCAAACCCTGAAACGACTCCCCAGAGCCCCACTGGTAGGGCTGGGCGCATCGATTACAGGCCTGTTTGCTGGTGTTTTTGGCGTCAGGGTGGTTTAAGGATTCAGGGTCAAGGGTTTAGGGGGTTAAGGATGGTTAAGGGCTTGAGGGCACTCGGTTTACAGTTTCAGGGTTTTGGGGTTCAGGGTTCAGGGGCTTGGGAGTTTACGGCTCGGTTTGAGGGTTAAAGGGCTTTTATGGTTTTGGGGCTTGAGGGTTTGGAGTTTTTCTCAAGAGCTTGGCGGTGTTCCAGGGATTGTTTTAGGGTTTCGTGGTCAAGGCATCTGATGTGTTTTCTTTGTAAAGGGGGCGAGCGGGGCGGAATATCGAGTTCATTAAAAGAAGTTAAGGACTACGGCTTACGGGTTCAGGGCCTCGAGCAGTCTGGATTTAGATCGAAGGGTTTTGGCCGTATGGATTTCATTTTGCACTACTCTGGTTTTGCCAGGGCCTTAGTATTGATCTTGAGAGCGCAGAGCGCTTTACCGATTGATTAGTGTTTGAGGCGGACTCATTGTGTGGGATGTTTGTCAGTGTCCTTGCGTGTGTTATGCGTGTTATTTACATCGTCAGATTTTGACCAGCATTTAGGTTGACCTGCATGGAATGGGATGGCAGGAACTGGGATGAACTGACATGCAAGGCCATGGATGACTGACTGACTGACTGAGTGACTGGCTAAGTGAACGGATGAACGAATTAAATAATGAATGATGATGGAATCACAAAGTGCTGAAATCAAGGAGTCATGGAATCAAGGAGTGCAGGGATGAAGCAATGAAGGAACGATAGAATGAGGTGACTGAGAGAATGGAGGCAGGCCAGCAGGTAGGGTAAGGAGGTAGGCAGCGGAAAGTCGTTATAGGTCGGTAGGTACGAGGTAGGTCAGCAGACAGGTCGGTAGGTAGGTAGATAGGTTTGTAGGTAGCAGGATAGAGGTAGGTAGATCGGAACATAGGTTAATAGGTAGGGGCGTAGGTAGGTTCGTCGCGTACGCGTGTCGGTTAGCCTTAGACAGGAGGAGATATGTGTATGCACACATATATGCGTTCAGTTGTTCATTTGATTCACAATAATAATGTTAACTTTAAATCTATGTATGTGTGCGCATGGTGTGCATAATACATAAGACAGAGACCGGGCCTACACTCATGCAAGCACTGCTGAGAGGCTGCTCGTTCTCTCCAAGGTCGGCTCCGTTCTGTGTGTGCATGGGGTAATCTGGGTCTCATAGGCTTTAGGGTTTTTGGGTTTATGGGATCAGGTGGGGTTTCTTTTGGGGTTCGGGTTCAATTTTTATTTAGGGTGTAGGGCTCACGATGTGAGGTTTAGATATAAGTTCAGGGGTCTCGGGTGCACTGCTTGGGAGTTGGATCCCAGGGTCCATGGTAAATCAAGAATGCACCCTAAACCTGACCACCACTACACCCTAAACCCTAAGCCTTAAACCCTAAACCCCAAACCTTAAACCTTTGCACCCTAAGCCGCAAGCTTTAAGCCTTAAGCCGTGGTGTGTCGCAGTCCGGCTGGCGGCATAGTCACCAACGCCTTGCCAAGACCCCACCAGTTTCAGACGCTGCAAACTCAGGGTTGCGGTTTAGGGTTCTTGGTTTCCTTTTCATGAGAGTTCCAGCAACTGGATAGTCTTTCGCGCCGCATGTGATATGCATCGCCTCTTTTAAGACAGTCCTTGTGTCGCGTGTCGTGGGTTCGTAGCCCACCCGTAGAGCAAATTGAAAGCATGTATTGGGTCTAGGGGTTAGGGTCATGGTACCCGTTCTGACACTGTACCTATAGTCTCCATTGTAGTTCGTGTTGGAGCTACCTTATGGGATTCTGACTACATATTTGGTTAAATCAAAAAAAGAACTACAATGGAGACTATAGGTAAGGAACCCTTGGCAGATTGATTGAACTGTCAAGAGTGACGTTGGCAATTTCAGTCTACAGTCCAAACTGACTGTCAATCAACAGGGCCCAACAAAAGAAACAACGAGTCCTGCCTGTAAAAAAGTAAAACAGCGCAGAAAGCTGAGAACGACGGAGCGACATATATAGGACCCAGCAGCTGATTAGGTAAGGTCCTGAGCTTTTCCGCTCCTGCGTCCTGCTTTGCAGTTTTGTCATCTTCTCTCTCTCTGTCTCTCTTGTTTGCAGAAATGCGGAGAGTAAGGACCAGGCACTGTTTCTCTTCAATGAATGCCCTCCGTTTTTGTGCAAACCACATCCAAGGCTGTAATCAACGATGTAGGGTCCTCGTGCAGTGGACATGGGCGAATGAGTAAGTAAGCATAGCATGTGGTCTATGCATATTCTGGTATTCTGTGTACTACAGCAAATGTCAGTATGCTCTAGAAGCAACTACAGAGCAAGCTAGACTAGTGGTGGTTTGACTTCCGCAGCTGCACAGCATTGAGAGTCCAGGCATCTTCTCTCAGGATCATGTGTTGAAGCTCAGCCTACTGCACAGTCTTAGGGGCTGAGTAGGTAACCTTTAACCTCTTGGGGCTTGTAGAATCCTTCTATAATTCAACAGGTTAACCTGTTTTGGGCTAGGCTACCCAGCCCCCCCTAGACCCTAAACCCTAAACCCTAAGAAGTTATGCACATGACAGACTTCTGTGTGCTATGTGTCGCAATGCCACTGTATACCAGCACATGTTGCTCACCTACCCTGTGAATACATCCTGGCATCCAATGCCGGAGGCATTCCGGTGCATGCCCTTGCTGTGCTCAAAAGAGAAACCCAATATGTCAGGCTGAAGGCTTAGACACAGTAAGTAAAGTCTCACCCTGGAGCTTTGAACACTGCGCGCTCACAAATCCTATGCACTTAACATCGAAATCCTGAATTCACAGGTGGTGTCGTCTTTTTTTATGTCTTCTGGCACAGCTCTGACCACATGACCCTAAACCCTAAAAAACTTAAACCGGACCACGGTCAGACCCGTGAGGCCCTTGTGCGTGCCGGCGCTGAGGCTCTTTCCCCAGCTTCATTTAGGGACCCAAAAGGCACATAAGCATAAGCATTTTATAGGGATATCCCTACCTTCTTGGGCTTCATTATAAGGGGTTTATATGGGATATCCCTATCCTAAGTTTTGCTTATGTTTCTTTTGGGGCCCTATTCAGTTCGTGAGAAGGCTCTGGGCTGTCGGCTTTGGGATCCAGGGTTTAGGGTTTCGGTTTAGGGTTTGGGGTTTCGGTTATATAGGGTTTCCGGTATAGGGTTTTTAGGGTTTAGGGTTTTCGGGTTAGGGTCGGGTATTCACGGCTTGCACCACGGCTTTGCATAATGAAGCTGGAGATTCGGCTTATGCTGACTCGAAGCCCGCACCGGTCTAGCCAAATGTCCTTGAACCAGATCAGAATCCACGTGTAGCTCCTGATCCTTGCATGCAGTATCCTTTTGTAGTGCCTTTTTTTGGGGTAACCAATTTTGTTTTGGGGATCCTATAAAGTTGCTCCCAAAACAACGATGGAGACAACAGTCTAACAGGTCAAGCCTGAAACCCTAAAGCCCTAAACCCTAAACCCTAATCAAATCTCGAAGCCTTGCTCCGAAATGGAAAGCTCAAGGCTTGCAGCTTTGCTTCAGGGTCTAGTAAGTTCTCACGGCTCAGAGATGTCACCGCCCGCCTGCTGTATAACCCTTAAATGAATCCCTATGGAATGCCTGGGCCGACGTCGGCTTTATGTGCCGTGCCGACGCTGTCCGGGCCTACGACATGCAGATTGCCTCGGCGGACCTGTTTTACCAACAGTATTACATGTCCCTGCCGGTGCAGATCGGAGGCCCGTCGCCGGCGGCGGCGACACCGACGGTCTCCATGGAGGAACGGCAGCGGCGCATCGCCGCCGCCGACGCCTCAGCCCCTCAGCCCGAGAGCCCACGGAGGCCAATCCCATCACCGGCGAGGGCTTCCCGCACCTGCCAAGGCGCCCGGCGACAGGGGCGACCTCCGACGGCCCAGGCTAGCCAGACCGCTTTCTTTATTCAATAGAAGGGCTCTACTACTTACTATTTGCCAAACCCTTAAATTAAGATAGCTACAGTGTAAACGAGCCCAAGACAGTGTCGTAAGACCCTTGCAAGCCCTTGTCTGGATTGGAAGAGACAGTAGAACAAGCAAAATCATGGCAACCTCAACATTGAAATGCACGGATCTTTGTGGTTCCTGAAAGCGCCCTCGAATTCCCTAACCCGTAAACCCTAAATATCCTTTAAACCTATTGGGAAGGAGTACGCTGCTCGGCAAGCTCACGTGGAACTTGCCGTCGGCCTGGCGTCAGCTTTGGGGTCGGTTGAGGCTTTAGGCTCATGTGCGAGCTCCAAGGTTTCAAAGTGCAGGGTGTCGGAGGGCTCAGGGGGTTTAGGATTCACGGTTTCAGGTTTACGGACAGGAACGGAAACCAGAATAAGTAAACCCTACAGAAAGGAACGGAAACCACAATAAGTATATAACCCCGACAGAAAGAAACCGAAGCCACAATAAGTAAGCTCTACAGAGAGGAACCGAAACCACAATAGTAAACCGTGCACTAAACAGGTAAATCCACATGGGTCATAACATAGAGGCCTTAATAATTACCTGTCGCTGTACTATTTGGAAGGGGCTGGTTATTATCATTTTAGTATATTCGGCCCCAAAACCATACTTGGAGGATCATGGGACTTGGTAAGTAAGGTTATAGTTACCTTAATTGGGGTTATAAGTAGTTATAAGTAGAGTTACCCTAATTACAACCCCAGTTACTAAGTCCCATGATCCTTTAAGTAGACCCTAAACCCTAAACCCCATAGATCCCTTTAAGGAACCCTGTAGATCCCTTTAAAGAACCCTTTAAGAACCCTTACTAAGTCCCATGATCCTTTAAGTATTCTACTTATTCAGGCCCCTGTATGACTACCCAGGAATTGGAAGCCAGGGTTGCTCCGTGTTAAGGGATCTTGGGGTGGAGGGTTTAGGGTGTAGGGTTTAGGGTGAAGGGTGGTGCGTTTAGGATTTAGAGTTGTTTTCGTGTAGGGTTCAGGGTTTAGGGTGCTGGGTTTGAGGTTGAGGGAGTAGGGTTTTGGGTTTAGGGCACTGGGATTCAGGTGTAGGGGCTTGAGGTCTCGGATGTCGCATTTTGAGTTTATATACGGTTTCGGGTACTATACTGTGTTCTATTATAGTGGAATATGACAGCTTCAATGGCAAGCACGCCAGGAGCGACTGCGAAAGGCAGACCCCGCGCACGCACCAAAGGTGCATCTTCAACCCTAAACCCTATATCTTCAAGACGGGTTCCGGCAGGGCTCTGCATCCAAAAGGGGTTGAATCCTCGACCTGAATTTCAACCGAGTTTGAGAATAGAAACCTACACCCTAACCCTTAAACGCTAAATTCTGGAATTCAAAGGCCCGGAACAGGTTGGGAGTTTTGTTTCGCTGTTGTTTCGGATAGTATGTTGATGTGAGAGGATGGCCTTCATGGTCCTTTGCTACTCTCCTTCATTTCCCTAAGGGTCCATGTACCCAAATAGTATATCCTTTGGCCCCACACGACTGTCTGCGGTGTGTCGGTGCCGGGTTGGGATTCAGGGATCTGTTGAGAAGAGAAGCTTCGACTGTGTGGGCTTGGGGCTTAGAGGATTTCAAACCTCTGGGCTCTGGGTTTAGTTTAGGTTGTAGGGTTTGGGGGTTCAGGTTTGGGGGTTTGGGGGTTCATATAACCGTTCATCTTTTTTGGTTTGTAAGTGTCACTCATGCCGTGGCGGAATAGACTACTGACGCAGTTACTGCGACTACTATACGTAACGCAGAGACAAGAGAAGTTCTTTCATGCTCTTTCTGGTGTTGGAGTTTTCTGGCATCTACTTACACCATTGTTGCCGCAACCTTTCTGGTTTCTGGCTCTGGTTGTGGAAAGAGCCGCATCTGCACAACTTCGCACATGCCGTTGGTCAGGTGCAGTACGTTCACAGCTTTTTTCGACTGCTATGACTTATACATATTGTATGGCCAGTGAATCATTGATGCACTGCATCGGTTTGACATGTCTTTCAACTCTAGCCACAGTCCACCATTATAAAGTTTCGACGAGCATGCTTCACGGTCTAGAGGAAGCGTTTGGGTTGGGTGTTGTGCTCTGCAGCAGCCTGCTAGTGCAGGACAGTGTCGTACCCAGTTCACCCTGGATAAGATTCCACCCGATATTCCGCTATCAGATACTGCTTCTCTGTGGAACTTCAATCTTCGATGTTCAGCTTAAGTTTCTATGTAGTTGCATTTTGCAGGGACACTCTCAGGCCGAGTTTCTTGGCCTTTTCCGAACTATGTCAGTGCCAAAATAAGGTTCAAGTCTGGTGCTTTTGGCGTCAGGCGGCTCCGAGACAGCGAGACACAAGTTGCCCTGTCGTTATAGTTATTCACTCCGCGTTCCCGGTAGTTAGCCTAATCTGAGGCACTGTAGATATACTGACACCAGGCCCATCTTTACTGGGTGCCGGATTATGTCCAAGCCAACACGTTTAGCTTCCACATACATAAGTTTTGTTTAAAAACAGCCCGATTTTGCAGGTTCATCCCTTGTCAGTTGTTGTTGCGCTTTTGTCGCATTTGTCGTGTTCAGTGTACCATCGTGGATGTCCACCAGTCAAACCATACAGGAGAGCTTGCTCCAATCAGGACAGAGTTGATGTTTGGGCACAGAGTTTGTTAAAAACGACACAATCAACGGCTTGATTTGCCTGTGACTCGTGCTGTGGGCAATGAGTGAAGAGTTGCATTTCAGCTCTTTCGGTGCAGATTTCATATGTACTTGAAGCACCTTGGTATGCATTTGCTGGGCCCGCGTTTTTACGAGCTTCAAGGACAATTGAATTTGACCATGCGTAAGGTTCGTTGCAACGAAACATGACCTGCGACTCAGTTATGTCTTTGCACGTGTGCTCTTGTTTCGCATTCCCCGAACCGGCCCGAACCGGGTCTGTTTTGTAGACCCAGCAGTGTCCAGCGGCAACATGGGTTGAATTTCCGACGGTGCACGGCACGGCCCATGACGAAACACCGCTGTGCTTGGCGTGAGGTGGGCGAAAGGGTGCCATACGTCTTCGTCGCCAAGGCAGGTGGCAGCATGTGAATCTCTAAGCCCGTATGCGTTGTCGTCGCCAGGATTTCGGTGCCCAAGCTCGAGACACTAGTCACCAGTAGCTCGACACAGTTGTACCTTTTCAGGCATTGTGTCCGTGAGCTTGAGTCGCTGCATGTCGCAGATTGATGGGCGTAGGTGTGCGTGTGGCTTGAGCTAATCTCGCAAGGCCCAAGAGTATAGATCCGAACAAGGTTGGGTCGGCAACCAGTTTAGATATCCCGATAGATGCTTGGAATGATTTCAAGCTTGGCGGGAGCATTATGTGGAAATCTTAAACCACGTCCAACTTTTTGTATCAGTCCGGTTCGCACAACAGATTCAGCTATAGCACACAAAGATTGTAGTCAACAAACACGTGGAGTTTTATTTGCTGAACAAAAACATGCACAATTCTGCGAAAACGCCGCTGTGCACATAAACCTTGTGCGATTGAAAATGGGAAGAATCCATCCCCGAATTCCCCCAACACGTAAACCCATAAAACCTGAACCTTCAAACCTTAACCCCCTCTAGCATGATCCCAAACCTTAAGCTAAACTCCAGACTTCCGAGTCCAACCGAACCAGGGCAACGGAGCGAATGCTTGCGACCGCGCCGAGGATCCGCTGAAAGCTCTGGAGGCTGTACTGTAGGAGAACACTTACCCATATTATTCTTGGTGCCAGTTCCATATCATAGTTATTCTATACTATATTATAACATACCCCTCCGAAGCCTTATTCTGATTCTTACGGCCGGTGTAGTGAGGGAGTTCTGGCTAAAGGTCCATAGGGTTTAAGGCAGGTGAGGTTTCATGAAGGCTTTTATAGGTGCGTCTAGTAATGATCGTTGTTGTTGGGGTGGTAAAGAACACCAAGTCATTGTTTCAAGGTTTCTATTTTCTATGTTACGAATTTCGTGATGAGGGATGAGGGTTACTTGACTGCCACGTAAACAGTCTATATGGTTCTTTAGAGGCCTGAAATCATGATTGCGTCTTACCGTAGGTACCGTCATTACTACATTAGGACGTCATCTCATGATTAAGTCTAGCTACCCTATTGAGAATTATTCGTAATACTTCAAGAAGGGGTCAAGGCCTAGGGTGTTTGCAGGAACTGTCCGAAGGTTAGCAGTTTCGAAGTTAATGTCATTTAAGATTTCGGGTGATCAAAGCGTGGTTTCGAAACGCTGGGGGTTGGCCTCACTGCAGTTTTACAGTATAGAATTAGTTAAAGTTGCAGACGTTCGGGAATGAGGTAGTAATGTCACGATTTTGGAGGCTGAAAATACAGGGCAGGAAGGTGGAGTTGACAGGGTTATAGGTTTTGTGACATCGTCCCGTTTGCGTACATCCTTAGCGAAGGTTGCGGGTCTGGGCCCAGGCACGTCCAGCCGTTACACCCGCCCCTTGAACTATTAACAATTGGACAGAAGCCGACTTTCCACGCTACGCGATGTCACTGTCATTGTCAATCAATTTGATTCGACTCGCATTCCTGCAAGCCTGACACCCGCCTCGCCCTCACAAACCCTAAACTCAGGTCCAGAAACATTCCTGTGCCATGACCGAGCTCTCGCTTCCTCATTCCACCACAAAGAAATAGAAGCTTGTGTGGCGGTTTATTGGTCCGGGTGGTTTTTGTCTTTGGCTGTTTTGGTCCAGTTTGAGATTGCGTCTGAGCCAGATTCAGATCTGTAGGTGAATAGAATTCTATACCGAATGATCGCAGCTGCTACAGTCGCACAGTGTGCGTGTCTGGCATCGGCTCAAGTCCTACTGAACCGTCGATATCATGTCAACGAGTCAGGCATAGAACTGCCTACTTGCGGCAAGGCCATGACCCTGATTCCGACCAAAACATTTAAACGAACAACCCTTAAAGGAAACCTTAAAGGAGCTTCTAACCGAACCCTTAAAGGAACCCCTGATTCCCAAGCCTTAGACCCAAAGTGGTGCTTCAGAGCCTGCTTCCGTCAACGACAAGCCCCGGGAATCATGATGCGTCTACTTTGGCTGGCATCCTTGCAAGCCGTGCTGTGTGTGAAGAGTGTGCGGCACAGCAGCAAGAGGAGCGCTTATCCAATCTCACAGAGCTTCACAGAGCTATGATCCCTCGTCTTCGCAATGTCGGTTTTGCGGTTCAGGGTCTGGCTTGCAGGTGCAGGATTGAAGGTGTAATTGCTAGATCCAAGTGACGTTGGAGCTTCTGGGACCGCACCGACCACTAGTGAATTAGCTTCCTTCCGATATTTGAATTTCGTTCTCGATGTCGAGACGATTATCGTATATTGCATGTTATTGCCGTCTTGGTGTGAAATTTTGGATCATGGTCATGACGGTGAGCATGACTGACAATGGTCGGGTTGATGGTGATGCTCGCGATGTTGATGATGACGCTGGCCTTCGCGTCAGCTTCGATGACCTTAAGTGAAGGCCCCAATTCCAGCCCTTTGGGACCATCTTTCCCTACTGCCTCCGCCCCTCGATTTGCGACGTCTCTCCTGAAGCTGGTCTGTATCAACTTCTGATAGGCTTGAAGCTTCGTCTTTTCTTAAACTGATCCGTCGAAACTCTTGATTTTGGAGGCCCGTAGCATAGGTTTCCTAACTCTAGACAATAAACAGAGTATCTTCATTAGCCCCTGAAGGAGGCCACCCCTTTTCCTCGGTGTATATTATATATATATATATATATATATATATATTGTATATATACATACATACAATATGTAAACAAGTATGTGTGCATGTATGCATACATAGAAATATATCATATCATATCATATCATATCGCACACATATATATATATATATATACACATATATATATACACATATATATACATAGATATATCCACAAATAAATTAACAACCGTATGTATATATATATATATATATATATATATGTATACACACACGAAGTTTTTGCAACTTTATACATACACATACGAATGTAGACATGTGTGCATGGCCATGCATATGTGTATGTACATTCGTGTGCGCGTGTGTGTGTGTGTGTGTGTATGTACGTGCTGGTCATGGAGAGCCCGACATAATTATCTCTCTTCAGCCACATCTCAATTTCCGAGACCCCGGTGCTCTTCTAGCGCCACCATACAGTGTCTTGATCACAGACTCAACGTGGAGACCCTGAAGCATATGCGCCATGAACTCTAGAACAAGCACCCGGTTTCTGAAAGCCCCTGTAGTGGAAAATCTTGACATGAACCCTACAAACCCAACCCTAGATCCTTGAGCCTGAAAGCCCAGGCTAGTGATCCTGAACCCACACGCTCTGTAAGGTCCCGGGATCTCACAAAACCCTTCTAAAGACGCTTCATACAGCCTTCCCTGAGACTCCAAGTATGCAAATAGTACCTGCTTTTTTGGGGGGGGTTAGGGTTTACCTATAAAATACTTGCTTTGGGCTTTGTGGAGTTTGCCCTAAGCCCTAAATCCTTAACCCTAAACCCTAGCCCCAAAACCCTAACCCCCAAACCCCGAATCCCAGACCCCATTTCCGAGGCCCCGGTTCGACATCGACTTTGACAAGCCCCCACAAGAGCGTTACCGGGCCATTCATGAATATTTCAAGGAGGCCGGGCTCTTAGTTTTTGTTTGGGGGTTTAATTTAGGGTTTAGTTTTATGTTTAGGGTGTGGGGTTTTGGATTTAGATTTTTCGGGTTCATTTTTTTGTTCAGGGTGTGGGGTTTTGGATTTAGGGGTTGAGGCTGTCCAGGTGTCTGTACTGAGGGTTAAGGAGTTGGGCCTTTGATCCTTGTAGCCGAAACCCTAAAATCCCCCAAACCTTAAACAAGCCAATAGAAAACCTAGAAACCCTAGAAACCCCTAATAAGCCCCAAAAACCTTAAAACTGAAAAGCCCTTGGGAACGCCAAGCTGGGAATACGACGGCCCCAAAGGGCGAAGACTCAGCCTTGAGTAGGCTTAGATACCCAATACCCAACCTTTAAACCTTTTTGGGCTCTTATAGTTTAGTAGGAACCGGAAGGTTCAACCAAGACCTTAAACCCTAAGCCCAAAACCCTAAACCGCATAAGACCTACACGCAAACACCCTAAACCTTAACCTTTCATTTCAGTGGCTTATTGGGGGAGTAAGTAGGGGGTTTAGGGGGTTGAGGATCTTGATGGTCTTTAGCCCAGTAATTAGTAGAGTAGGGAACCTTTAACCTTTGTTGGGTAGTATAGTCCCTACAGAATCCCCATATAACCAAAAAGGTTAACCTTTAGTTCCCCCTGATACCCGACAAGTAGGTTAGGGTTTAGGATCCTTATAATCTTTAGCCCTGGGTTAACCCTAGACCCCTAAACTCTTAACCCTACACCCGGGTCTTCAGGGTGTTGAGGGTCTTCAAGGCTTGCCAGTGAGTCTCCTTAGGGTTTTGAGGCATTAGAGGGTAGGGTTTAGTGTAGGATCGTTTAGGGGCTAGGGTTCAGGGTTTTTGGGTTTTGGGTTTAGGGTTCAGGGGTTCAGGGGTTCAGGGTCGAGGGTTTTCGGGTTCAGGGTTTTTTAGGGTTTAGGGTGTAGGGGTTCAGAGTTTAGCGTTTTAGGGTTGAGGGTTTAGGGTTTTAGGGTTAGGGTTTTAGGGGTTCAGGGTTTAGGGTTTAGGTTTCTATAGGGTTTAGGGTTCTGGGGTGTTCAGGGTATAATTCAAGGTCTTAGGATCTGTAGCGATCAGGATTTTAGCGACTAAGTCGAGAACCCATTGAAGACGGAAGCAGCGGAGAGCCCGTTGCTGGCGGATTCTGCAGATGGCCCTTCGCAGGCAGAGGCTGCTGGGAGCCCCTTTCGGGTGAATGCGGCTGGAAGCCCTGTGGAGGAGGATACTGCGAGGAGTCCGCTGAAGGCGGATGTTGCAGAGAGCCCTTTGTTCTCAGAGAGCGAAGGGGAGGAGAGTTGGGGCCCCTCGTGGCCGAATCCCTCGAAGCGCCTGCGCGCTGGGGTTCCTTCAGAGGTCGAGGGGCCTACGCCCCCTCGGGTTGGAATTCCGGCGAACATCTTGCCGGGCTCGCTGAGCCCGCCGTTTGGTGCTCTTCAGATGGATGTGGGAACCCAACTCCTCCTGCGAGCGTTGAGGCTGGAACATAGGGCCCTTAATAATTAGAGAAGGGTTCACATGTGGGCTTTATTGGAGTAAGGTCACAGGGTTGAAACCGGTCCCGGGGGTTTAGGGTTGTCAGGCTTGTGGGTGTAAGTTGTTGGTGTAGGTTAGGGGCGAGGTTTAAGCCTCGCATGTTCTGAACCACACTACATAGCCTCAACGCCTCCTTTTCTCAAGCTGTCTACCTCAGTCCTATCCCCAAAACCTTGTAATCCCTGCACCTTGAAGCACCAAGATCCCGAAGCCACAAGCCTGAAACAGTCGAGCCTGGCCATGATGAAGAGCACGAAGCTGCTTGGCCCGAAGCGATGCATATTGAGGGAGTTTTAGGCTTTAGGGATGTGAGGTTCGGGATTTAGGAGTTTACAGAGATTTTGGGAATATTGAAATTTATATAAGGTATAGGGAATGATCCAATGTTTAGGGTTTAGGGCTTAGGGTTTAGGGCTTACGTCTCTTAAGCTTTATAGGCCAAGACGGCTTTGAGGCCTTTTCTAGATATCCCAACGTCAG